TACGCCAGAATCATACTCATCATCCTCCATCCATATCTTCGTCCTCCCCCTCTTCGCGCTTTGGCGTGAGATAGTTCTTCCCGTAAGTGGCCCACAAGAACCAATCAATGTCATGATAGGTTGAGAATGATAAACCATTGAGGCTGATAGTGCTTGCTGGGAGAACCTTCTCTGAAGGGATATGGAAGTATTTACCGCTACGATGCCATTCATGCGAGTAGCCGTCATCTCCGTGATCAGTTAATCCATACAAGTCAACATAAACACATCCGAATGAATCACATACCTGAGTCATATTGAATATGATGCTCGTATCGATGTCATACAATCGCCCGGCCAGTGGATGATGTGAAGCGATGCAAACCCGCCAGATGTTGTGCTTGAATAGGAAATAGCCGAGGCCGCGGAGACGTTCTGCAAACTCATTCCTTTGTACGCACGGCGATGCGCCAGGTGGCAAGAAATAGGCAATATCTGAGTCTGCAGTCCAGGGGATGTGCGTACCGTTCCGAACAGCTCCCAGGGCGGTGCCGTGGGTTAGCATAGGCTGGCATCCGAACTCCTCCATGGCACGATAGACATCGATGGTGAGCATGTCAAGGACTGCTGACCCGCACACAGGCTTCAATACTCTTGGGTCGAGGAGAGTGCTACGAGTAGCACCTGCGCATTCCAACCGGTTGTGGTTAGGATGTATCGGTAGACAATGTTTCCAGTGTGAGGCGGAGCTAATTTGCGGGTCGACCTCGTCCAAGCGTGGCCCTTCACAGACCTCGCGTGCCCGCTCATATACCCTTAGAGGCTCCACAGGAGCGTCTGCTAGAGCCCTCTGGAAAAAGTCACCATTGCGATAATAGGACATATTCAACTCGCCACCTGTTCTCGGGCACTCGATAATTTTGAGATCTGCTGCTCCAATATTTACGACCTGTTCATGCGTCATAGACGGAGTTGTTCCAAGTCGATGAGAGTGAGATTGGTCAAGACTGACTCTCGAACGATGATCTTTGGCTCGTAGGGAGCTCATTAGATAGACGGGTACGATAGAGATGAGAATCAACGGGAATATCCAAAGTAGTCGGCGGCGGCGGTGGTACTCAGGTGCGACTTTGAGCTCGTCGACCCGGCCATTCCTGCTGGATGGCATGCGAATCGCATACGCGTAATGATTCGGAGGTGACAGCGGAGACTTCTCACATGAGGGAGACGCTTCTTTCATGAGGAAAAGAAATAAGTGAAGACACTGCATTTGTTTAGCATGAGAAGTGAATCCGCGGTCAAAACCGCGCCAGTTACATCACCTGCCATCTATCTGGTTGCATCCTGGTGTAGCGCACCGTTTGTGCGAGTGGAATGCGACCAATAACGAAGCTTCAGAAGAAGTGCTTCTCCTTTTTCATGTCCCTCTCCTCTTAGCTCCGTAGAAATCGTTGTGGGCTATTGCTCGATGGAAGTGATTCTGCTAGCGAGCAAGAATTACTGCACACCGCGTCCAAGCACACGTGAATATCGTAGTTACGGCACGCATCGTCCGAGTAATGTGACCCCTATCCTCGCAGATATCGGAAATGGGAAGGGAAAGCTCATCATGTTCGATGTGTGTTGCTCTACGAGCCTGGCTCCTCCAAGCCGAAGATTGCTCCTGGGGCCATATTACAGATTGAGCCGACAATATGCTCATGTGCTCAATATGCGACTAGAGTTCACGCAGTTTGTGCTCCATTCATGTATGTTTGCTGAAGCGCGCAAATAGCACTTTGCTGTAATGTGAGACTCGGACGGTCACTTCGGCTTTTCTTCTTTTCACACGTGATTGGCATATCAGTCGCTCGCGCATTCATTGCGTTCTGCAAAGAAGGCTAATGAGTCCCTCTAATTCCTACTCTAGGAATTCATCCCCCGATTCACAAATTGCCACTCTGAGAGTGGAGCGCGCGAGAGATGCCACTGGACTCCAGTGGCTGGAGTTCAATCAGCGTCAAGGCGCAACGTATATGGTAGTCATCATGTCATAGTTTGTAGTATTGACTCGTGTCTCTACACTATCTGTGTTGGCAGGTAATCTATGCTGTAGGTCGGCAGTAGTTGAGCATTATGTCTCTTTAGCTGAGTCACTCTATGTGCACCATTGTGACCTTAGCTTTCCCACTCATCTATGTAGGTGAGTAACTTAGAATGGTTATCCTTGCACTCTCGAAGTTATTTGTGCCGTCTATCCATTGGGCCTCTTTCAGTAATTGCTCACTTACATTAGGACGGCAACAAACTAGAGAAACTAAGGATGGAGCGTTTCACTAAGGGCTATGATTACTTAACTCCCTCAGACTCACCCTTAAGGTAAGAAACCCAAAGACCTGATGTTGGTTTTCTAATATAGATGGGCAGCGTAACGTTTTTCTACGGTTTACCTCACGGCCTGCGTAACGTGAGCAGTTCATGGTTACGGAAAGGCCTTATGACTTTGTGTCTGATGCTGAACTCTTTCTTTAAGAAACTTTCTTAGAATTGGGGCTGAAAGATTTGCTGTAATGCACTTCACGATAGCTCAAATAGTTGTTAAGGTCATTTCTTGTGGCTCGAATTCAACCGAACCGCTGAGAGAGTAACATTTGGATTGGCATTTACCACTCGTCTCCTCTGCAAATTCGGTCCGTCTTATTCCCAGGCTGGCCCGGAACTGCCAAGTCGGCCTCATGAAATACGTAGATTTAGGCAACTTGAATTATCAATCCTCATTTTGTCCTCTGCATCTCCGTGAGACCCATTACGGCGCCGCGATTTTACGGTACGGAGCTTGAATCGTAACAGTAAAAGTGAGCCGTAACGGCCCGTAACGTAATTCTGCCCATCTATATTTTCTAAGAACCATGAGTAAGGGAGTTTGTTCGTTCCACTAACGCCCGTTCCTAGGGACGTACTTAAGATTTCGGTAAGGCCCGACTGATGAACCTAATCTAGATCTTGACTCGCGGAATTTCTGAACTTACATCATTACGCTCGGCTGGCGTGCCTCAATCCCCGTGAGTACGATCCCCGGAGAGTGAAGTTTTACTTAATGCTAAACTCATTCGACACGGTCAAAGGAAGCACAGGATTGCGCGCGCTCTAATATTACGATCATTCATGCTACTCCACAGCTAATGACTATTGTATCGTCGTCACCTCTAACTCAGGTGTTTCACCGACCCTTTCCCCTCCCAGACTTGTTGTTCAACAGACATAACTAACATCATGTTAGTGTGTCCATCCCGCAACACACATGTTAGTACCATGTGTGTCGCGGGATGGACCACGCTCTCCGCTGAGCTCGTCCAACTCGCTCCCCACCATTGAGCAGCTAAGCATGATCTGACTTTGAACCCATTTTTCTCGACTTGTCTTTTTTCCAAATTTTGGTTTTTGTATAAATTCACGAACAACTTTTCAAGCTTCCAGTAAGTTTTCAAGAACTTGCTCAGTTCTTACTTGACATCTTGCTTAATCTCATACTAAAGGTTCGTCTTCTTACTTTGGAGGCTGAGGGATCAGTGAAACATACTTGGAGTTTTTTAAGTTTGTTAGGTTAGGTTTATGATCTCAAGATTCGCCAACCTTGAGAAGTTAGTGGAAGAGGCCCTTCATGTAGCATAATCCAACTCATATTCGATGACATGGAGCAGTACGGTACCATGTTTCGGCTGTTGCACTGGATAGGCTATTCCTGTCATCCTGAGCATTGTATGAACCGAGTGCGCCGGAGGGCGTCAAAGATTGCATTTCGTCCGCGATACTTTGCTCGTCGCCTAGTGGCGAGAAAGAGTGGCGGAGGTTCCCCATGCTTCGGTTCAACACGTTCTATACAACGAATGGATTATCAAAGCTGCCAGCATGACATTCTTGAATACTACGTTCTTATATCCATGCTGGTTGCGTAAGTTCCTCGACCGTCGTAGAATCATGCTATCACCAGCTATCTCTGCAAGCTTTCCTGTGGTTGATGACAGCTGGAGGCCCCGAGGTTGAAGGGGTCCTCGTCGAATTACCACGTGCTTGATCACTGCAAAAGTTGATAGTCGACTATCACATGAAATTCATCCGGCAGTCCCCCTCCTGAGTATATGGTAGTTACTATGGCTTTTGTTCATCAATAACCCGTGATGGTCTATTGTGAAGTACGACAGTAGGTGTACGAGCGATGATCACCCACACCACAGGCTAACGCTAGCACGGATTCATAGAGCCGGCTCAGAATAGCTCATATGTCTCTAGTGGAGACTCTCCACTCGGGCATTGCTGTTGGATGGAATCGCACCATTCTGGAAGTGCCGTATGTCAGTGGTTCAGTCTAGTCTAAGATGAGCGCCCCTCCTAGCGGTTCCTCGGCTTCGGCTGAGCTACAGCGACTGCACCGTGGTATCGAAGTCAAAACTCGGAAGCTGGAATTAGAGCGTCGACGCTTGAGTGATTCACTTCATCATCAACTCATCTCATGGAAGACCTACCTTCAGGAAAGCTCATCGAAGACTCTTCTCAAGCCCGAGCGGAGTTAGAGACTAAGATCCTGCCTTCCAAAAAGCAAAAGTCCGAACAGGATATGTGAGCAGTTGACACTTGCCCGTTAGTGATATGCATATATAAGTTACCGCGAGAAGGCTATGACCAGCGACATGGCACCAGGAACTGCTGGATTCGACATGTGAGGGGCGAACAGAGCCACAGTAATCGATTCATCCACCTCAGCCACGTGAAAGAAGTGCTTCAGAGCTGTTCGCCTGGGGCTATGAGATCCCTGGAGACCAGGTAACTGTTACATTGAATAGTATCGTCAAGTTGAGGGGACCGAGTGGCTCCAGAATAACCAAGGCTTCTGGTATTCTGAACACAATGAACGATAGAATCCGCGAGATGAGAACGAATATCGATACTCTGCGAATGGAGAAAGTGCAAGTCTACGATGCCTTGAAAAACAATCTTGACCAGGCAAGAACATTTCTACTCTTTCGCAATACGGGAAGTCTCGTATGCCCGTGCAGGTGAAAAGCACTACAGCTGCACTCGGGGATCTCACTTCTGAATTCGAGTTGGACAGAAAAGAAGCAGTTGGCTGCCAACAGAAACTGTCCGAGTTAAAGGCCGCTGATGACTCAGAGAAGCGAGCTTTTAGAAAGCAGATCGGAGGTGCTCCTTGGGTCATTGCCGGTTTAGTATGTCAGACTTGTGACGTAGAGATCTCCCTAACGTGATGAATAGCATTGATGATCATGATTCAATGTGTGTGCATGTATGAACCTGTGGCAGATATGAAGAAGCAGATAACAGAAATTCATCGTGAAGGGCAGGAGTGGGAGGTGCAAACCAACCGCGAGAGTATCAAACAAAGGCTTAGCGCTCGGCGAAGCCCTCGAGGTACCCCAGGACCGGCCTGCTTCCACCAACTGATGATCCCTAGGTCGTCATCGTGA